GGGGGGGAAGAGAGAATTTAATAATAATGAATCAATTGAATAAACTTACCGTTGGAATTCCTGAGCTATGAGAAGACCATCGTCCTTAAGAGTGGCTATCGTAGTAGTAACTCTATCTCTCATATTACTGTCAGCGATGAAGTGATACGATGCGATTCTGAGGGCCCACAAGGCAAGGCCACCTGTGCCAACTACAAGAATCTTGCACACGCTGTTTTCACCCCTTTCTTTCAATAATGCCTGCAATATTTTGTCATACATGAAGAAAGCTTTGAAGAGAAACCTCATCATTTATTTCTGAAGTATTAGCTTTGTCAGATAATTCATTATAAACGTATCTTTAAAGTGTATTTATTACAATAATTTAATTTAATTAGGATACAAAAATGAGGATACGAAAATAGGGTACAATATGAAAGATTGCCTATCTATACCTGCACGTGTTCGTGCGCGGCGAAGACGGTGTTCATAGCGAGAAGCGCGCCGGCCGGCAGCATAGCTCCCACGCTAAGTGACATATTGTCCGGAAGCTTGATCAGGTACTTGAGGTCGTGCACTACCAGATATTCGACGTAACCATTGGGAATGCCATCATAGGGATAGAGAATAACGCGGTCGCCCACAGCAAGTTCGCGGTCTTCAGGTACCTCGGTGCCAAACGATTCGATCACGCCAGCCACTTCGTAGCCAGGGAATAGAGCAGCGTCGCGTACCCCATGATGCGGTATAAATACCGGGTAATCGCTCTCTACGGATATATCGGCGGCCAGGCTACTGCCACTCGAGACCGAGGTCAAACTGGTCAGACTCGGTGATCGTCGAGGATGGTAACAAGCACCAGCGCACACCACCCGGATGCGGGCACCATGCGCCGGCACATCCGGCACGGGTACATCGAAACTGAAGACACAATCCCGACCGGTCACGCTTGGGCTCTCGATCGAGAGTTGACGGCACAGTTTATTCATCTTCTCTCTGTAACATCAAATCAGTAACATGAGGCTTTTGCAATTGGAAGATATTCCTCCTCAACTACCTACATCTTTATGTATTATTTGTTGTTACTAGATATTATGCAATGTTATGCTTAATGCAAAAGTGATAAGTCTCTATACATCTAATGCTGTAATACATAAATAACTGTCATAAATCACAGCATTTTTTTAAATAATTACTGTTAAAAGGATCTTTCTTCTATTTTGGAGCAAAATTTTCAGAATAAATGCAATGTTACGTTATAAGACGCAATATTATTTGGTATATAATACATAATATAGTTAGATATATATAATTACTATCTAATACATTTATTTAGTGTTGCAGAGAATTATATTAATTATATATTAATTATATAAAAAGAATTATAATATAAGTATATCGTAGTTGGAAATAATATTAGCAAAGTAGATTGCTTTTTAAGCAAAAAAAAAAAACAGCGTTATCAAATAATTCAAGAAAACTATATATTATATTTCAAAAGAAAAATGATACATAGGACATATGCATATATAAATAATTAAAGATTTGGAGCAAATTTTTTATATATTTTAAATTTAGATTTTATAAGCTTCATATTTAATTAATTTCAAAAATTTCATATGAGATGTTGCTTCACAGATAAAGTATACGTAATTATTTATATTGCGTTATAATTTAGTTTCTATTGGAATGGTGTTAATAGATATATTAAATTTTCTTCATTACGAAAATTATAATTGGACATAATAAGTAAAAAACATTTATTTCATGCATATAATTTATTTTTATTAAAAATGTTATATATGAAAAATATTATAGATAACAGAGATCTATTATAGTTTCATTTAACTCTAATAGAGTTTAATAACAAGGCTTAGGAAATATGCGGAAGACATTAATAATATGACATTTTCCGGTTGAAATAATTTCTGTAATATCGGAATAAAGAGATCTGTTATGGGTAACTGTCATCAGTGGAAAGAAGGTTTAATTAGTACTCAATTAATTAATAGTGATGTATTTTTTCTTTTTCTAAAATCTTTTAAGAAACAGTGTAACGGTAACACTAAAATATTGATAGAAGTGTGTCATTAATGTTAACATGCTTGGCACGAGGAGACCTGTCAGACTTGCGGATCAGCTGTTCGGTCTTTTCTGATTGGATAATTGAAAGCAAGTTTTCGCACGTGAATTATTTGTAATGATTGTATAACAATCATCAGGAAAAGGAAATGCGTGACATATAAGTATCTGTATTTTTTTTTAAACCAACTAAGAATTTAAATAAAATTGAAAGCCAGTTAATAAAAACTTTTTATATGGTATAAAAAATAATATAAAAATAACATAAAAAGTTTCTTTGACGTAAATAATGATATACAGGCTTGGCTAAACATATATGCAGTACGGTCAATAAATTTTACACTAAATTGCAAAAATATTGCAATACAAGCCAAAATATAAGTTAATATATTTTAGAATATACATATTTTATTTCTATTGTTTTTTAATTCATAAATTATTTTACTTTAATCAATGTGATGCATCAGCCTAATTGTTTGTACAGTAAAGAAGCTAATCAATTAAAACACATATATAAAAATCAAATAATTGCCTACCCATTATGAGAGATGGTTTTATGAGCGACAGGTGCCATCGGTTCAAATTCCACCGGCATAACCACCTTAATTAAATTTATTTTTAAAAATCACTCACAAAAAACCTGAGCACAAGAATCTTTCACCCAAAGATTTTGATTCACTGTCAACGTACAATCGTTTTATCGAAACACGGTTTCTAACCGTTACTAAATTTCAATGATTTTACAAAAAAAAACTTGCAATGGAGTAAAGGAAGAACGAATTCTCGATACGTTCGCACGCTGCGCGAGAGGTACTAACCCGTTCTATTGGAGCGCGTTCGCTTTTATACTCGTATGCAGGCCAACGCATTTGCGATAGGATGGTAGGAAAAGTAAATGCGGGGAAAAGGGTAGAAGACACGCGCGGCCACTCGCCGACCACGTGCAACGTCTGTTTTTCCCGTCCACCGTACCCCGGAGTAAGCAAAGCACTATTGCGTTGCTGGGGATCACATGTGTGACGCATTTTGTATTTGTACCGATAATGATAAAATCATCAAATGATGTGAGCTTTTAGATTGACAATGTCAATTGCGCATAACTCTAGCTTGTTCATTCAATTGAAAATTAAATTTTTCCTCAGTAAATATTCGATTAATTGCTACATTTTTTTTACATCTCATTGGTTTAAACAATAGATTGGCAATTAAATGTGTTAAATTTGTTAAAATTAAATAAAGAACACAATTTTTTTTATTAGCACATTTCTATTTTTATTAGCAATTGTTTCTAATTAAGAAAAATGTTTTTCAAATCAATTATTTAAAGGAATTCTTTTTTCAATTAAAGATTTTATTATAAGATATGTATAATAATTATAATTATAAAATATATAATAAATAAATTATTTATTAAAAACATTGACGTTTTTTAAGATACGTAGAATCACGTAGAAAAAATTGAGTTTATCATGTGTTCGTTATTATTTATTGCAAATACTGAAAATCTGTAATATATGTAACGTGAATTATAGATTTCCAGTACTCGCAGTGAATAACGGAACGCAACCCAAAATAATATATGACTATAAAAGAAACGCGAATAGCGGAATATCTGATAACTATAATTTATGAGATCATATTTAATTTTGCTTTTTTTGTTTTCTAGAAATTAACTTTAAAACTTTTTTTAAAGTTTAAAATTTGGATGTTCCATAAATAAATAATTTTGTTTGTAGACTTCATTGAATATTCATGTTCGGAGGAAGAGTATGATCATGTGCATATTTGAAATACATTACCAACTAATAGCTTATGATTAATAAATAATATTTTTCCACTTAAATTTATTAGCTATCTAATTTATTAGATGCCAGTTGCGTTATGTAAGCACATATTACTGTTTGACATATAATCGTGCAATTTTGCGACATATGCACATTTGCGATAAAATAATTTTTTATAATACATAGATAACAACCCACATCAAATATTTTATCATTTCTATCATTTTTATTAATATCCACAGTGTAAAATTATCTATTTATAAAGTAAGCACAAAATAGAAATGTCTCACAATTTCGTTCAACGATAAAAAGTTGTCGATGAAAAAAGAATGAGATATTTTTAATTGCTTTTTATACCATCACTACTACACTACTAGCATTTTTTAATTGCCATTTGCCATGACACACTATGTGCTGTCATTTTTCAAATGTAATAGAGAAACATAATTAAGCGTCTTATACGGAAGTAGCGATAATAAAATTACGTAGTTAGTCTATTACGATAACCTTAATTGAAATGCAATGGCCTCGGTATTGTATAGTCTGTTCTTATAATTAAGACTATCTTAAGTACAGTTTTAAGATGTCATAAACCAATTAAACTGTATTAGCATCTTAAAACATTATTTAAGACAATCTTAAAATAAGAATAAACTATAAATATCGGCTAATGACTTATATTAAAATATTTTTTATAAGAAATCGTTCTTAAGTACGAGTTTTATTTAAAATATTTGATGTTAATCAGATATTAAAAAGTAAAAAACTCTCTTTCTTTTTCTTTTTAATCTTTTTTGTCTTTCCCTCTTCAAATAATATTAATTTGTATTTCAATAAAAATATAGGAAAGTATAAGTATTCTGTTAGAAAATTTATAAAAGTTATATATCTAATTTTAATTTAACTTCAGCTATCTATATCATAATAATTAATTTTGTTATATTTATTACGTCTAAAGGACAGATTAATTCGTATTCTGTTTAATTTTTAAATATTATGTATTTAAATACTGTGTTTTAATTTTTATTTTGTAGAAATTAATTATATTTCAGAATCATTTGCTGATTATCAAGAAATATAAAAATTCTGTATCACAACTTTATTAAAGCAAAATCTTTCATTTTATCTAGTGTTTCATTTATTTTATAAGTTTTAAATATTAACTAAAAAGAAATCGAGCCAAAAAAAAAAGAACATCTGTTTCTCTGATTGAATATTAAAATAATTAAAATATTTCTTTCGCTGTTTTAATAAATTTTTAGTTGGATAGGTGTATCTATTCGGACATGATAAAGTGTTCGTTTATCTATGTCTTATCTATATTTTTTTTTATACCGCATAGCACAAATAACATTTATTTTTCTTGCTGTCAAGGATGTTACCTGCAATTAGGAAAGTTTTATATTTATTGAGTATTTAGAAGAAAAATGTGCTATTTTCAACATATCGCTCGTATTATTTACGCAAATGTTGATTTTCTCATCTAATTCGATTATGCCATAAAGTTCTTATCGTTTCATATATAATACAATGTTAGTTAATTTGCTTGAGTCCGGAAGTGCATGGTTCAATGTGTTATTCAAATAAACGTGAATTGAGGCTAGCACGTTCGTGATTGCATTGCAGTTATGTGATAACTGCGATGAAACATGTTTTACAATGCTGAAAAAACGGGGAAATTTGAATATTATTTCATGGAAAATAAATCTGACTTATATGAAGTTAAAATTGTCGCTTAAAAATTTTATTCTTATTTCCTGAATTGAGGAAAAACTAACAAAAATAAGGTCATATGTTATAATAATAATTATAATTGAGATATGAATTTACATTGTGTTTAAGAAAACATTAATTAGCACATTTAAAAAATAAGATATAGATCGCGTTGCTTATCACATAAGTCTCGTGAAGTGATCGAATCGTTTAATTTACGGAGTAAAATACATAAGAATCATCATTCAGATGTTAAAAAAACCTTAAAATAAATCAGTGAATTTTTTTACTTTAATTATTACTAATAAATTTTATTATTTTAACATATTACTTAAAATTGTATATAAACAATAAAAGAGACTTCATACATTTATTTTTATATGTTGTAAAAAAAATTATACCTATATTTGCGTTATTACATATTTAAAGTGGAATTTGTAAAAATTGAAGATAGAATTTTTTAAAAACATCCTTTTTTAGTGTAAAAATCCCTACATGAATTCCTGAAAAATACCTATTACTTGTTAAAAAATAAAGTGTCGATCAAAATTTTTTTAGAGCAATTATTAGGTATATTATTGGTGAAGTACACGTGTAAGTTTGTGTCACCTTCAGCCATTCAATACCTTGAAATTTAAGATAATTATACACACACATTTCACATTTCGAGCTTTATTATATTTTGATTATTTTAGTTTAAACTTTATTTAGATGCAGACGCTAATAAAAAATATTTTAATTAAACGTGTCTTTATATAAATAAAAATAGGCTTCTAATGTTTTAAATAGTGAATGATCATTCTGTGAAAGTACAGCACGATTATGCTTCGTAATGCAGAATTAATATTGCTGAAGGAAGACGAAATGACATTTCTCTTCTTATTCTATGATTATATTAATCCTCGATCTCTCTTATGTAGTAATTTTATTTGTGATCTGACGTCAGCACTTCGAATATATGGTACATGGCAAGTTCCACAGACAATTTTTCCTCGACA